AAGTCACTTTCTTTGAATTCAGATGCCAATATGATGACGCTGTCTCTTATACACATCTAGATGTGTATAAGAGACAGTATATAAACAGCACGACCTATCCATGTTTATTTACATTTACTACAAAATTTCGGCTACTTTTCAGAATACAATCTTCGCTACATCAATTTTCTTATTTGAGGGCGAATTAGTTGTATGCGGGGTTGTATGAAGAGAGACGAGTGAATGAGCTATATGATCAGAGGTATGAGGAGATAACGGCTGGCTTGATATGCCGCCATGCTTCCGTGGTTTCGTGGCATGATACTCGCTTTGACAGCGAGAAGATGTAAGTCCAATTTAGTAGTCATCATAATATGCGGGTAACAATATTAACTACTGTATTTATTATAGCTCTATGAATACAACAGTAAGAAACTGGACTTACCTGTCACCGCTCCAGTCTTAGGAGATGCCTTCCTTTAAACATTCGGTCATTTCTAAGATGAACTAGCTAATATCAATTTGTCATTTTTAAATGTTATGACAGAATCTTAGAATATGTCAAAGCAATAGACGAGTGTTTGTCTATGTTTTGGCGTAAGACCAGTAGCGTTTGTGGAATCCTACATTTGCAAAAGGGATGTTGGGCTTTTGATTTACGTTCACTTTGAAACGTCTTAAGTTTTAGGAAAATTCCGATCGCTACCAAAGTTGCATAAGAAACTAACAACATATAAAAATATTGCTTCATAAATGCAGTAATGTCGAATATTTTTAAGAACAAAAATTGATTTTCGAGAAATTGAATGGTTTCGTCTTTGGAGGTCATTTTTGTTTGGCAGGGGTCAACAGTGAGAGTTCGTATGTGACCACCAGGTGTGACTGACGTAGTGTGATGCAAGAAAACTGTGTGGTAATCCTCAGGGAATTGAGATGATTTTTGAATCTGACATTATTTATTTGATACTTATCTTTCTTTAGTCTTCCTTAGGCCAGGCCTAGACGATGTCCGGTTCAGGTGCAGTTAGGCTAGGCCCTACCCTACGCCTAGCCTAGGCCTAGGCCTTGGCCTACTACTACTACAGCACACCAGCTTGCTAATCTAGTCAGGCAAGCCTAGGACTAGGCCTAGTAGTACTGTAGAACGTTTTGGCAGGCACAGATGGAAACTAGCTTTGAACTGTGAGCATCTCAGATGGAAAAAGAGACCAAATAAAATGCCATATTTGTATAGTATGCTCTGCTGTAGTGTAGCTAAGTAGAGTATAGTCTACAGAACCAGAGAGTTACATCCCACCATATGACATGTATGTACCCAGTTTTACACTCATCATGTGTGAAGAGGAGAAACACACACCAAAACCTAAGCAAGACAGAAGACTCAAGCTTGAGGGCCACAAGTACAGCATCACAGGTTAAGCCGGGCACTCACTGCGTCCAATGGTCGTCAGCCGACGCCATACCATGAAGGACACAACGCAATGACGCACGTGCAACGGATTGTTGTTAATGACGATCCATTCAGACGACCACCCACAATCATCAGATGGAGTCGCATGGTCTAGCGCTCAAAGGGAGCGGAATTGGATTCGTCATGCGACAGTCGTACGACGCATTGAGTTTTATAATTTAATAATTAATATAGTATACTAAAAATACCATTCTTTCTGTCTCAACAGTAAGATAACACCATGGCTGATCATGTTGTAGACCAACCTCAGACAAAAGAAAACTTAAGTAGTGAAAAGAAAAAAAAGAAATCTTCAAAAAAAGAGCGGAAGCCAAAAGATAAGCAAAGTGTACCTCCTGCTAAAGTAATGCCACCAGCAGAAGGAGAAAGTGATGTTCCACAAAAAAGCAAAGCTGAGTTGAAAGCTGAACGAAGAGCTAAACAGGTAGGGTTTAATCATTCTGGAATAAGTTTTAACTAAACCCTTAGATCCACTGTTAATTAGATACTAAGTATCACTGGTTAAAGTGGGTGTATGTTTTTTAAATGAAGATATAATGTACGTTTTTGTAATCCCTGTTTCTAATCTAATTTGTAGGAAGCTCAGAGGGCAGCTAAAGCAGGAAAAAAAGTAGGGGAAGTCCCCACCAAACCACCTCCTGAGGGTAGGTCCTTTTTCCAATATTTTACTATTGGGTTGAAGAATACCATAACATTTTTATGATTGTATTTTCAGTTTACTCACATACAGCAGGTATACTGCACATTACAATACACTCCGTACATTTAGTATAGTGCAATACATTACTGTATTTTAAAAAATAACAACCTAAGCTGTACAGTAATTTTATTGTATTGTTAGAAGTAAATTATGATAGTATTCTATACAATGTGTTAGTATTGTTATAAAATATTAAGTGTACATTATATTTATTTCCTTGAAGGAGTTTCACTGAAAGCACCCCCTAGAGTTTCAGCTGATCATCAGATGGATGACCCTAAAATGTTGAAGAAACGCAACAAAAGATTTGAAAAGCAGAAGGTTAGTATGCATAGGACATGCAAAACAAGACACAAGCAAACTGCTTGGCGAGAGAGTCAAAACCCTAACCTCAAGTGTCCCAACCATAACTGAAACACCACAAGTTAGATTGAGGGTCTTTTTTTAATACTATACCTAGCTCATGTTGAAATCTAAAAAATTAATTTTATTTTTTTAAAGAACATACAATTCTATGTAATATATCTTAGAATCGCAGAATCTCAGATTCTTTATTTTCCACCTCATACAAAAAACACAATTACAATAAGCATATTAAGGAAACAAAATCGCTGGGATATGAGTCGGGGGAGGCTAAATAAGTTAGTGCAATGCACAACTACCTTTAAGCTATAGCAGAGAAATCTTACCTCAGTAGGATTTTTGGTTTTAGGATCATGACTGCAATAAAACTTTTACATGTGAATTTGTTCAAACCTGATGTTTATCGTATAGAATACAGAGTCTGTTTACCAAATTTTGAAACAAATTTATTACTGTATTACTTTTTCGTAGATTCCACAAAGAAAAGAACAACAGAAGAAAGTGAGCCTGTTTTCCCATTTGGACCAGTATGAGCGTCAGATGCCTCTAACCAAAGCCCTTGGGTTCGGATCCTGTGAAATTCACCCTGCAATCATCAAACTTGGCCTACAGTATGCCAAGGGGATCATTTGTGGTTCAAATGCTAGGTAACTGCCATAAAAATTGGCTATTTTTGCAGTGGCGTATCTAGGAGTCTTGAAATAAAGGCGCTGATGGGGGGAGGGGGGAGGAGGTAAAGTGGGGGATCGGGATCTTAATGATTAGTTGAGGGGGCACTATCTTGCAAAATAAGGTGATTTTATGTGATTTTGTACTACTTGACCGTGATTTTTTGGGGGCCACTGGGGGGAAGCGACACAAGTAATTTTTTGAGTGGTGTGCACCCCCCCCCCAGATATGCCACTGTATTTTCGATGTATGAAATATAAATCTCATTTCTTCTTAAGCTGGTTTTCCATACAAATTGCTACACATTATCGCTGACAGCTTTCGGTGATGCTGACTGGTCAGTCGAATCAGGGAGCCCTCCTGATTGTGTCAGTGACTGCCAAGCAGTACAACGTTTGCACTGAAAACACTGTAGCGACAGTGTAGTGATTTTAAAGAAACCAGAAAAAATAATATCCAAATATTAATATGTAGTCATATAATATACATATTTTATATGTGTGAAAGTAAGTACAATATCCCATTCCCTTGTTTAAACTTCCATGACAACCCAAGTAGAACAGTCTCATCATTTTTTTAATCTGTATCTATATTCTCTATTTCTATCTGCAGATGTATAGCATTGATGAACACATTTAAGAAGGTCATCCATGATTACAGTACACCTGAAGACAAAGAGTTATCTAGAGATCTAGAAAGCAGGATAAAACCATACATAAGGTACAGTCAATAGAAATGAATAGTATTAAAAATAGTTGGCATTTGGCACTAGGTATACAATATACTTACAGTTTAAAGTCAGGCTCCAGAGGAAAAAAATTTATTGATATGTTGTAGAACTGATTTTTCTAAGACAGAAAAAAGTTTTTTGACGAAAAACTGGGGAACGGTGAATGAAAAAAACTGGGGGAATAAGGTGTAAAAATGGGCAATTACGCCCCCTTTCCCCCAGTTTTTAAATATTAAAAAATCTGTATCTCATTCACCGTTCCCCAGTTTTTCGTCAAACAACATTTTTCTGTCTTAGAAAAATCAGTTCTACAACATATCAAAAAATTGTTTTCCTCTGGAGCCTGACTTTAAGGGAGACAGATGTTTGCATAAACATACAAGCAAAAGACAGGGTGGGATTGTAACCCTGGAACAACTAGTTCTGTACTACTAATATTGTCCCACTATATCACTACCACTAATGAGGGCATTTTTCAATCTTTTAGCTTCCTGAATCAATGTAGGCCAAAGTCAGTGAGCATGGGCAATGCGATCAAGAATCTGAAGATGCAGATAACGCATATCCCATCAGATATGCCCGATGCAAATGTACGTATTTTACGTAAAATAGGTGAAACTGGTATACCTCGGGTCAAAATGATGAGAGTGAGGTAATCTTTCTCCAGTCATTTTGAAAGGCAACCCCTCTATATTTTCCCATTGTGTAAGTTCCTTGTGCTCAGCTGTACTTGAAGACTAGGCACTGTCCTGACTTTTCAGTGCACATTTATAAAGCATAATTATGCTGCTGTGTTACTACTACATATGTATCATATGCTTTGACAGTATAAGTCGCTCTTATACGATACTATGTTAAGTGTTTATACTTAATTTTTTAATATATGTGGCAAAGACAACCCAAACCAGTCACTCGTCGCAAATCGTGTTTCAGAGAAAATGGCCAAAACATGCTGGAATGTCGAATTTTTAAAAATCTATTTTATTGCACTAAACTAATCTTTACATATCTATACATCATTCTATGCTGTTATTTTCCCCATTTTCAATGTTAAAACAACACTTTTTAAGGATTTGATGATAGTTTCTGCATGCGAAATGCCTGAAATCATAAACTTTGAAGGCTGATTTCTCATATATTGTTCTTTAAACAGCTGTATGTTTAAACGCTTGTAACTTCATAAGGAAATGTCCAATTTGAATGATTTTTTAACCATTTTATAGCTATTATTTTACTCTCTAACACTGTATTAATAACTCAAAATTGATTTTTGCGACAAGTGACTGGTTTGGCTTGTTTTTGCCACATATTATATTGTTGCCTGTTTGTATGCGTGATACTAGCAGATTCTAAAATTGGATTAGTCTTGTTAGTCATGGGCCTATAATTTTTCAAATTCAAGTCAGAGTTTATATTTCTCTTTTAGGGGAGTGGGTGGTAATTTGATTATTGTTTTCCTTCGATTGAAAGTCAGGTACAGAATCAGAGAGTAGCTAATGTATTGTACTTGGATCTGGCCTCATTAAAAACAAGTTTTAATTTTAAGAATATTTATTTTATATTGAAGTAGACCTATAAAAAGTGATTATGAATTATTAATTTCATCAGGCAAAAGAGGAGCTGTATACTTTTATAGATAAATATCTCAATGAGAAGATATTCCTAGCAGCAGAAGTTATCAGGAACTATGCTATCACAAAGATCCGAGATGGAGATGTCATTATGGTTTATGGCTGGTAATTGCATTTCTATTTTACTTTTTCTGTATCATTCCTAACAAAATGTTTGTTTGTTTTTTTTTCATCGGTATCTGTATTGGTCTGGTCGGTGTGTGTAGCAACTAAATATTATAGTGAGCTTTAGTCATTAATTTATGTATGTTGATGGAGTCCAAGGCAGCTTTAAATGACTTTATATTGGGTGACGTGCAAATATCCTCACTTACGCAGTTCCATTCTGGAATTGACCTTGGGTATAATGAGAGATGGTAGCAGTCTTTGTTTGTTGGGATGACCTTATAAACCTGATTGCCTGGATTTCATTGCTGGTATTATAAAATTTCTCAACCATTAATTAGAATTAATTATAATGATTGTTTGTTTTTTACTTTTATCGGCTCTTCCTTTTGTGTATTATAGTAAAACCCCTCTTTTGGGGCACCGCTATTAAGGGGGGGCAAGGCACACGCCTATTAGGGGAAATTTATTTTATCCCGAAGATGTCACCTTAGCAGGGGTTCTACTGCATTCAACCTGTTAGTTTGTATGTCAAATAAGTTTGGATACAATTTGTTTGGGCTAATTGCCATTTTTTATTCATGGTAAGTGTATCTTGGAATGCCAAATAAATACTATTATTTTGTCGCATTGATTAGATGTATAATGTATCCTAATTTAATAACTGATGGCATATTATCTTTTTACAGTTCCTCTTTGCTTTGTAAGGTCCTCTGCGATGCATATAATTCTGGCAAGAATTTCCGTGTTGTCGTTGTAGACAGTAGACCTAAGATGGAGGGTCGTGAAGGAGTACGGCGGCTTGTAAAACATGGTATACGTTGCAGCTACATTCTCATCAATGCGTTATCATATATGATGCCTGAGGTGCGACCACTACTGTGTATACAGATTTCTGAGCTTTAAATATTGCTTTTTGCCTAATGGACAGAAAATTTATATATATTATGCATAAATTAACACATTAATCTTTTTTGCCATCAGGTGTCTAAGGTTTTCTTAGGAGCCCATGCTCTTCTTGCTAATGGCTATGTCATGTCACGTGTTGGGTCATCGCACATAGCGATGGTTGCTAAGAGCTACAATGTTCCTGTTTTGGTTTGCTGCGAGACATACAAATTCTGTGAGCGTGCTCAGACTGATAGCTTTGTCGCTAATGAACTTGGTAAGGAAAACATGAAACAATTACTTGACTATTTTTATGTGCCACATTTGCATCTATCTACTATTGGAACAAGTTGTTTGGGCAATATCCAATACTGTATTTATCCTCCTATTTTCTGTGAGTTTTAATACGATTACTTTTTATTTTTTAAAATGGGGTACAGTATTCTGGATGAGTGAATTATCTTTAAATGAATCTTGTTTGTCTATATTTTAATAACAATATTTATTACTTTCAATATTATCTTTATACAGGCGATCCAGATGACCTAACACATGCAGAGAAACCCAAGATGTACTTGAATGATTGGCGCAATATAGATTCCCTTACACTGCTGAATCTAATATATGATGTTACCCCACCTGATTTTGTTGATATTGTCATCACCGAGATTGGCATGGTGCCCTGTACGTCAGTACCCGTTGTGTTGCGTATGAAAAGTGCTGTGTAAGGTTGAGCAACAACAGAGATAGATACTGTAATTAATTGCCTACAAATTCGAAGTTGTGCAGTGAGCTAGTAGGTGGAATGGGTTTTGGTGCTTTTTGCCATTCTGAAACAATCAACTTGGTATTCAAGGAAGATTTGTATACTGGCTGCAAGGCAAGACTATTTTATACCTTCTTTCGTGAACCTACCACCAGCCTGACATAATGATTACTATTACAAATGGGGCTTGACATGCCAAAACCAACATCAGTGACCAAAACAAGAAAATTGACTTTTGAATATTCATATCCTGCACATTATAAGCTTTAAAATGATGGGTCATTTACTGGAATTGACTTAGTCATGAGTAAAAGCATTATGGCTTCTCTGTATTAAGGTACAGTATACAATCCTGCTGCCAATTACTCATTTGGCAGCAATATGCTTGGTTTGCTATGGCAAGCCTAAAATATTATATTATTTTTAACCTGTCACCATGAAATCTATTAAATGATATATATTTTTTTCTTTTTCACTATTAAATACTATCAAACATTTATCAAACTGATTACTAAACTGCATTGCAACACTTCCAGGCTTTCTTTTTTACTTCTTACTTTCTTTCTCAGTCTAGATGCTATTGTCAGAATCATTTTGCTATTGAAATAAATTTTGTTTTTTCTGTCATCAATCTTTTAAAATTTTAAAAATAAAGTTTGCTATTCAAGGTATCTTAACAGAAAATACAGTGCAGTTCAAGTTTGAAGGTTACATACAGCTACAGCTCACAAAATGGTGAATGGATGGAACATAAAATTGTAATAAATTATGTGTACAGTATACAGTGGTATAGCAACTCAGACTCTGTCATTCATTCTGCATTAGTTTTGTATATATCTGCATATGTTGTAGAGATTAAAGCTTTAGATTGGGGAATAAACATCAAGGTTAACATATTAAGGCCAACTCAGACCGCATCGTTATGATGCAGCCTGACACAATTTGTTGTCGCGTCGGGTCTGACATGATAGGTCTGGGTTAGTCACATCTTAGAATATTAAACATGTTTTATATTCTCACGACAACCTAAAGACTGTCCTAAAGATGTCGGGCTGCATCGTACGACGATGAGTTGGCCTTTAAAAAACTACCAAATCCTACTGATGCAGAGCAGTAGATTCACTAAATATTATAATACAGGTACAAACACCTGCAACAGATTGTACATAGCCAAAAGGTTCTTTGGGATTTTCTGGAGATCTATCTTTCCGTGTACACAACATTTAAAGCATGACATGTGATGCGGCAGCGTACAGTACTGGGTGAGAATGGGCCCCCGTGCAAGTAAAATTGCTAGGCCCTTTGATGCAAAGCGTCAAGGGCCATAAACCAGAGTTTTGGCTAGTTGGGGGTGCTGGAAGATATCAGTTTGTCCCGGTGGGGGAATCCCAAAAAGCTGTTCCAATGATTTTAAAAAATCATAAAGGTGAACATTATTTTGAATTATTATCTTTAGGACTACTGTATGTGAATGGGCCCATAAGAGCCCAGGCCCGGGATTTATCAATCTCAGCTTAGCAAACGTCTTAAGTCAAAAAACATAAGATGTCCCTAAACAAATAACTTAAGATGGTTTATCAAACCATATTAGCAAAATCTTAATGTAAAAGTCGTCATAAGTGGCGCATGCGTACAATCGACTTTTTAATTTTTAAGAATTTTAAAGCTAAGCCATATTGATAAATCGGATGTAAGCAAAAAAATGGACTTGAGACGAATTTAATCTGATTTCTAGTTTCATAAATCCGGCCCCTGGGCCCCAGTCCTTTTGGCTGCACTGTCCATCCCCACGCCACTGGTGTGTGACGTGTGAAGATATCTGAGTATGAACATTAGTACAAAGTACTGTATTTGAAAACAAGTTGAGAAAGTGAGCTTAATGAGAAATTAAGCTTAATCAATTTCCAGTAAACTACCAGTATGTAATTTCCAGTAAACTGTACAGTATGTAATTCAAAAACCATGACATCTTTTTAGGTCAAGAAAACTCTCAAAACTGAAAAGCATCTGGAACCAGCTCTGATATTATGACTAGTGAGCAGCACCCTGCCTCCTTGACTTATCCACAAAGAAGAATATAGGAAAATACAATAACCTTTTGGAAAGCTACAAAATAAAACAGTAAACGGAAGAACACAATTTGATACACTGCATTGAGGTTTTATTTATTCTTATAGCATATAAGATAAAAATCAATAAAATTGAAAATTTCCAAAACAATGAATTAATTTATTCTAAGTATCACTTTGTTATATTCTATGGAAAATAATATAATTATTTACTGGAAAACGACCTGGTCTTTGCTTGATGCTTTTGAAAATACGGCCTGAATGCATGCAAATACCTCGTCCGGTTTTTTAGATGCGTCAACAGCATAATGTATTCCTCGTTTCTGATAATAATCGATGAGGGGCGTGGTCTGCGAATGATAAGCTTTCAGTCGTTTGCCTAGCGTCTCAGCATTGTCATCTGAACGTTTCATTAATGGTTCCCCAGTTATCTGCAAGAAAGAAATAAAATAAATGATTTGTATACATAGTAAAAAATTATGAACAGATGCAATTACTGTAATTAAATTTAAAGATCATTGATAAATAATGCAAATACTGTATGTCTATGGATACAGTATTTTGAGAGCAGTGGGAGGTACAGAAATTTGTAATAGAGGGCCCAAGGAGGAATTTTCACAGACTTACCCTCAGCCCCACCATGGTTAGGGGTGAGGTAAGAAATTCTATGATTATGGCACCTCTAAATGGCCAGAAATGGCACTCTCAGTCTTAAATTTTAATATAATTTTCTTTTTTTCTCCATTATTATTTTAACTTTCAGCTGGGTACCCCTTGAATCCACCACTGGCGAGACTAAACCCCTAATGTAGTGTCCACCTTACTTAATGTTAAAAAAAAAAAGTTATTTGGCATAAATTTTAATCTAGGATAGAGAGGGCGATATTTATTTCCTAATAAAGAAATTTTAACTTACATCATCTTTCATTGGCACTTTCGGAGGGTGAAACTCCTCGTGGTAGCTACGACCACTAGCACGATGGATCAGACGCCCGGTGATTCTCTTCACGAGGAGCACGTCTTCAACAGCAAACTCTACCACAGCATCTAGTTCAGTCATCCTCTTAGCCAATAAGTTGTCAAGCTATTTTATGATACAAGATTAAAAAAACAGGAATTAAATTACAGTAACAGGAAATATATTTAGATTTTACAATATAAAATTTTATTTATGAGGGTATTCTTTGACCAACTTTACACCAATGCTCCATCCACACTGTAGCAAGTGAAAACAACCTGCAATTTGCCCATATATAGGTGTGAATTGACATAATTATGCCATATATGGGCAAATCACATATATTTGACACATAAACCTTATATTAGTGTGGACGGAACTAATTTGTTTTGATATAAAATGCATTGATAAAATAAATAAATTCAAAAGATATCAGATAATTTGCTGAAAATAAGTTTTTGTACAGCACCAATTATTACATTCTTTAAAATTGAGTCAAAATGGGTTTTTAACGTGTAATGAAATACCTTTTCGGCTTGAACGACAGTCCTTGGAAAGCCATCCAGTAGAAAACCATTCCTGCATTCCGGTTGGTCGAGCCTGCTGTCGATCATCTCTACCACCAACTCATCACTTACAAGAGCACCACTGTCCATCACCTTCTTCACCTTCTTCCCCAGTTCTGACCCTGACGCCACTACAGCCCGCAGCATGTCTCCAGTCGCTAGGTGACATAAGCAATACTTGGATGCTAACTTTGGTGCCTGAAGAAATTTAAATGTATTGGAGCTTATTACATCATCTGTAGGTTACAATCACGGGTATTCATCCTTTTTAAGCTGGTGGCCAGTTCCAATCTGTTGAGAAAAGCAGCGACCGGCATAAATTGTGTTCTTCCATTGTCAGCCCAAACAATTCCCTTTTATAGTCTTCCTAGCCTGGGTTTTTTAAATATCAACTATGATAGGCCTTGTTCTTGTTCTGTAAAAATGAGGGAATGTTGGGGAAGGGTGAGATGAAAAAAAAAATACACCCTAGGATCTCCTACCCCACCACCAGAAAACTAGAAAAAAAAATCCACTAAGGTACTAAGTAGTTAAAACAATGCCAGCATCAGCAACGCCAGCCTGCTCCCCGTATCCGCCGCTGGTGCCTCCAAAAACATAGCAATCACTAAAACCAGATTACTTTATTTTCAGTTGGTTCTTTAAATTTCCTATATTGTACAGTACAATGGACAAATGGCTTAAATTTCACATCAGAAATATGATGCATTAATGTTACTGAATGTAACTTGCATTTCAGCCCTTCAGCTGAAATAGAAGTTGGACCATGGACCAAGGATAAGGATATCTCTCTAAGCTAGAGTAATCTGATCTACAATACACACGCAACTCAAGATTTTTTTACCTGAACTCCTTTGCCTGCTCCAGGTGGACCAAGCAATATAGCCTTAATACTTTTTGGCTCTTCCTCTGCAACAGCAAGGTTACCACTAGCAGGTAGTGTAAGAGCCATTTGCATATAATAAACTTCAGCAACAAATTCAGACTGAAATATGGAATGCTGTAGGCCTACAAAATTCACAGAATTAAACACTAAAATCTGGACTACTGAAAGTTGGTTACAATAACGAGTATTTTTAATACTAAATAGCGATGCAGGCTTGAAAATTTGTTTGCTGAAATTAATATCAACACGATGAAAATGGTCAGGTTATGTTTTCGGTGCTCCCAGAGTCAGCTGCCTAGTTGGTAGGGGCAAGATATCAATGGATTTCAAAGAATTCATGGAATCTACTTCTGCTAGACTTGTAAGTGCTGTATCAGTTCATAACATATTCAATGTGAGATGCCAGATATAATATTTTTACTAATCAATATTCATAGTTTCCAGGTCATTAAGCAGAAACACATGCACTGCATTAGGAATATTCCATTGTTGGAAAGGGGAGTTGATATGTGATATTTGAAGCAATCTATAAAATAGAATAGGGAACTATATACAGTACTGTACATTTTCACAATAACATTCTCCGTCAATTCCATCAAAATTCCTCTAGCCCTTCACACACAAAATTGGAGTACTGTATTCAAACAAAAGTAATGTAAGACAAAATTAACATGTGAAAAATCATATAATGAAATAAAATAATAAGTAGTTTATAATCAATAATGATGAAGTAAAAAATAAATAAACACACTGCTGACTGGTGTTTTTTTACAGATTAGTCCAACTTCTTCTTTTTGCGCATGATAATCCATGAAGGATCAAACTAAAAATAACTACATTTTTTTTCTAGCCTAACTAAAAAAAAACCATTCCACCAATTGATAGAAAAAAAAATACAGTAAAACTTAACAATTTGAAAATTCATTTACTGCATTCATTGGAATAAACACCCCGCTTTAAATAAACGCCCCCACCCCCACCAAGAGCGTGATTTGGAATAAACGCCTCCCTCGATTGGTTGGGATCAAAATACACTAAGTCCTAATGATCATGCATTGCAATAACACATTTTGATGGTAATCGTGTGTTGTAGTTCCACATTTACAATGAAAATAAAGGCTGATTATTTGAGTATACAGTACATTCCATTTTTTTTTACACCCAAAAAATAAATGCCTCCTTGAATGAACATCCCCTCAAAATCCTTCTCAACTATAAACACCCCAGAGTGTTTATTCAAATAAATATAGTATCTGTTTCCTTATACTGTATTTGAAGCTACTGTAACTTGTAAGCTTACAGTACAGTACTGTAGGCCTAATGTAAATCAGTTTCCATAGTGGTACCCTCTTATTTAAACAACTAATAAACTGGACCAGCATTTTTCCACTAGTTTTTTTTTCTTTTTGACTTTATTGTTTCTTTTTTAACTGGGAACCTTCTCAATAAACATTTTTTGACTGTCTGAAATATTTGAAATAACATAGGAATATTTTTTAAATAGTTTCTATTTCAAAGGTACTTTTTTTTTTTTAATTCTATGTCTACGGTTTTTTGTGATGTCTCTGTTAGCAGTTTTAAATCTCGTCTTAAAGATTATTTTCAAGACAGTAATATCGCGATTACAGTAAATCATGTTATGTGTTTTTCTTAGAGATTTTATATTTTATAGTATTTTCATATTTTTCTTTCCTTTTTTTATATTTGTATTTACTGTTGAGGGCCTTTTTGAGTCAGCTTTCGCTGTAAGAGCCCCCTCGTGAAATATTGTTGAATAATAATAATAATAATAATAATAATAATAATAATAATTAATAATAATATTAAGCACAGTTTTTGCAGTCTTGTTTTACTGTGGTTTATGACCATGGAGATCTTTTCCAAAACATAGGTACCCGGTTTAATTTCATCCGCTGATCTGTTAGAGTTTCAGCTGGAGCAGGGGTAGTGCCAGTGAAGTACCCGTGGGGGAGGGGGAAGAGAAGACCCTGTCGGGGGTAAAATTACACAATTCATCGGGGAGAAGCAAAATAGTCTTTTTAAGATAAAGTAGAATTTAAAATTGATTAAATACGCCTTTGAAACATCTATTGTCTTGGTTTACCCTGGACCATTTCCAGGAGATTTTAAAGCGACGTCAGACCAAGCCCATTTACACTCTTGTCAGGACATTCTATCCCCCATTAGGAAAATCATGCACCACCCCTGAGTTGGAGCTAAGGCCTAGGACTAGCCTAGGCTAATTGACAGCACCAAAAACACACCATCTTTCAGAAGAAATGTTGTTGGTATTTATTAATTGAAATAATAATAATAATAATAACAATAATAATATTAATAAAAAATAACAATAATAATAATATTAATAATAATAATACATATAATAATAATAATCTCTTCATTTATACACAGTTAAAACCCAAATTCAACATACAAAATACAATATCAAAAAGAATTATATAATAATGTTCTTCCTTGATTCTGTGGTTAATTAATTAATGAAAATTAATAATAATAAAATAGAATATAAATTAACAATAACATTTAATAGATATATACTGTACATATAAAAACATACAAAACTTTAAAAACTTATTACAGATAAAATACATATTGAATTACAGGAATACATTATTAAAAGAAGACACGTGGTTAATTCTCATAAAGAATATTAAAAACAATAAATAAGATAAAATAAATAATTCAAAAAGATAATTTAACATAGAATTTACATATGGATAAACAAATTGCTTACAAGTAAACAAAAACAACCAACAATTTAGAAAATTTTCAAATTTATAAATCATGAAAATTTCTTTTAAACTCGTGGAGACATTTTGAACTTTTTAGTCTTTCATCAAAAGAATTCCACAGTGCAGCACCTCTGTATGTAGCTCTCTGTTGTTTATGTTTAGGCCTAGGCCTAGTTCTTGGAACACCAATGTCAACATTATTAATATTAGAAAAAAAATTATTATTATTTTGAGACCCCATATTGTTGTATTCTTTTTTTGAGAAAACGTCTTGACAAATAAGATGGCATTAGATTATTTAAAATTTTGTACATAGAACACCTTCATTAAATTAAAATTTTGCATCAAGATGATTGGCCCATTTTGTATTACAATTGAATAATCGTAAGTGAGGTGCAATGATTGACTTATAATAATTTGATACTTGTTTATCCGTAACATTTTTAGGCCCGACATCTTGGCCCAGGTCCTAGTAGTAACCCTACTTACTGACTGTATAGGCCTAGGCCTAGCAAGCTAATGCAGTAAGTAGGCCAGGTTAGACCTCCCTACCACCCAAGCTAGACTTGGCCTAACCTAGGCCCACTTTAGCCTACTCTTCTTGACGAATTCTACTCACCTGTGTACCTTTGCCAGCTCCAGGGGGTCCTAAAAGCACCGCTTTTATTCCTTTCTCCTCAACGATTTGACTAAGAGGCTTTGTACGTGCATTTGGCGCCATTTTAATATTGAAGTAGAGAGAGGTAGGGCTAGGCCTAGGCTATATATTATTATTATTATTTTATGCAAGGCCACGACAGATGTCTTGCTAAAAACCGGCGCTTTCGATGGCCACGCGAACTATCACATGTGTAACTGTTCGATGTGCAGATACATTTACGTATGGAGCGCCATACGGGCAAAATACCTGTGATTACTTTCGATATTTATCGCAATACTATATTTCATTTAGCATTTGTGTACAGTACTTAAAGTTAAGGTTACTAACAATTGATTATATCCTGCATTGAACAACTTTTGTTTATTCGTTTTATTTCAAACCTGCATCTAACGGCAATGCCTATTGTTTTATCACGGATTACAAAGATGCAGTACCAGATGATATTTACAAACATAGTTACTGATATTTTCATGTTCAGCTCTTTTTTTCTCTATTGGTTTGAAACACCGCAATATTATACATACTATACATCAGAACACCACAATATTATGCATACTAAATAACAAGAATAAAATTGTAAAAAATAACAAAAGCTAAGTTACAATAAGATGCAAGCTTCAGCAAATACGCACAGGCCCATTTCCTGGCATTCTTCGCTTCACCTGCTCGAACTTTCGTCTATGAATCAGCCCTTTTATTTGAACTGTTTACTACTGTCAGTACTCGAGCTGTCAAAATCACTTATGCTTCATTAAGTAGCTTTAAAACACGCATATCATTGACATCATTGATGTAATTTTTTGCTAATCACCATGCTCTCTCTATTGATTCGAAGAGAGATAGAACACTAGTTCGCCTCAAATTCGAGACCACCTTTGAGACCTGAAAATTTGGGGTGGTTTTGCGGTTGTCTCCAATTAGAGGGCTAGCTTTATGTTAAAAGGTTGAAGATCGTTATTTACGTCTTTGGAAAAGTGGTTTCGAATTAGAGGGTCTCGAATTAAAAGGGTCTCGAATTGGAGGGTGCACTGTACGCAATAATTTTTTTTTATGGCGGGTGCACTGTACGCAATAAATTTTTTTATGGCATCAATAACAAAAAAGCTACTGTGCTCCACAACAAATTCCGTCTAATATGTAAACTGCTTATTTATAGATTAAATGACACAGGTTTCTTTATTCATTTATTTATTTATTTCGGTATAAACATCAAAATACAATTGGTAGCACAAAGGCTAAAAAATTGTTTGTACAAAATATTAATTACAATTATATAAAAATATAAAAACCATGGTTGGCTGAACGATCGATAAAATTTTGTAAAACGGGCATCATGAGAGCTGTCAACCACACAGTATAGGAGTAACTTTAAAAATATTAAGGCATTGCATATTGTACAGTGGTCAAGATACGGTACAATATGCCTTTTCGTAAAGCCTAATTAGAATTATCTAAGTCCATTTTGGCCTTTGACCGTTCTATCTACCAGTGATAATAACAAGAGTGTCCGATGCACTTTAGTTGACCACTATGGACACGTATTAAGATAAGTGTACAACTTCGAATGAGGAGTTTCCACCGAGCCGAGGGACACCTCTTTTTCTACATTTACAGCAGACTCCAAGAACAATAAAACCTATGGAGACGTAATTAACCCCTAATAATTAACCTAACAGTTATACTAAATTTTCAGGAAAAAGTGAATTTTATTGTTTGATAAGAAGGTATTTAATTATAAACTAGCAGTGGTTTGTTAAATGCATTAACGGCCTTTCTTTGTTTGCATATTTGGTTAGAATTAGTAATGCGGGTTTTTTTATTTACACTCTGGTTATATCTAGTTTGAGTGGACTTTGTTCAGATCATCTCTGTGCAACTACAATGACCTCATATGGAACAAATAATATTGTACAGGGGAATTTTGTTTTCGCCAAAATTTTGTCTCTCACTATTAAAAACTGCTAGATAAAAAATATTAAATTACTTTAAAAAAAAATATCATGTTCAAGTAAGAGCAATTATGTTATCTAATGTTCCAGTTTTTACTATAGAAATATTACAGAAACCAGAGAAATTAAACATGTGGTCTAATGGAATAATCCTTACAGTCTGATACGGCAAAAATGCTTGGATATCATCAACTTTCACTGATATATTATTCAGATTGTAAAATAATTCTGAGGTTATTGAAGTACACTATTTCGCTAGGATGGCTGGTTTTTAATTTCATACGTTTTTATTGTGAGTGTTAAAAGTGAAGTACGAAAATCATCTGTTGAGAGGGTAGATGAACATTAAGTTTAACCAATCAAGGAATAATTAATGAAGGTAAGTAATTACCTAATTAATGAAGGTACTGTGCGGTGTTCGTTTATGCGAAGATGGCCGCGTAAGGGTTAATTAATTGATTCCTTCATTCATGTAGATAACTGAGGTACTGCGGTACATTGATTTGTTGTTATATCCAGGCTTCGGAGCGAAACAAATGATATACAAATGGATATTTAATACACTATTTAATGGCGTTTGAAAAATATTTGCGGAACAACTGAGATACAGAATTATATAGGGAAATTGGGGATAACATCTTTAAGGTAAGTCAGGGCATACACCGAACCTTTTTCATTTTAACTGACTACACAGTAGTTTTAATGAATGGATTATGTTGTCACAATCTAATTTCCAGTAGCGATTTCAGCTTTATTTCATCGTTAAAGTGACCGCATGACGACACAGTCGGTGTAGCAATAATTCTCATAGACGTGAAAGCCTGTGATCTTGATTATTATGCTTTACCCATATACTGCATTAGGCCTAAAACTCTCTTTTCAAGATCCATTAGTGCTATTTAGATTGTGACGTTCTCATTGGACCAACTGATTGTCCAGTGTGGCGTAAGTTACAATCATTGGACCAACTGATTGTCCAGTGTGGCGTACGTTTTTTGTTTACCACGCCCACACTGGACAATCATTGTCCAGGGTGGGATAAATTTTGTGTTTACCACTGCCCACGTCGTACGTTCTAAAATGAATTTAATTTCTGGGGTCATGGTTTGCATGCTAATCTGGTAGATTGAGTTTGCTAATCATGACTCTGGTCTGGACTGGTAGGCCTACTGTAGATGTTGTGCCCAACTTAAGAAAAAAATTACTATCCTGAAACATAATAAAGATCAATACTGCTCCTGTTGACGTCATTGAAAATAACATACTTAATGCTAATAACTGTGTTGGCTTTCATTCAACATTATATGTTTTCATTATTTATCCAATTTGTAGGACCTATCATTACCGACCGAAGTCGAGGAAATGGCCAATATAAACACACCTTATAAATGGACTTTAGGTCGAGAACTGGCGGCAAAGGCAGAAAAGGAACTTGGTGAGACCCCGCGTGTCCGTGAAGCCGCCTTAGCAAAGATCAAGTCAAGAATGAAGGAACGGTCAGACATCAATTTTCGAAGAGATGACAGATTCATTTTACGTTTTCTGCGAGCAAAGAAATTTGAAGTAGACAGATCATTTAAGACTTTAGTAAAATACTACGAACTGAAAGAGAAACACCCAGATTTCTTCAAAGATTACAAACCATCGTCCATTGCGCATGTACTTGATGACGGATTCCCAGTAGTTTTAGATCTCCCAGATAATGACGGAAGACCGATCTTGGCTCTTAAAGTGTGTAGGTATCTTTAGAATCTCAATGCCTTTAACAATATAGATCACGAGGCCTTTCTCCTGTTATTCTATATGTATTACCAGGAGCAGTCATATTAGGCCTATGACTATCTCAGCAAACACAAAACGTTCTTACTGCGTTCGCGAACGTTGTGGTTAGGTATGTCACAGCATAACGTTCACTCAGCGTTGTAAGAACGTTCAAACGTTGTGACGTTGTGGAATTAGGTTATAAGTTTTACGTTCACATAGCCTATCCTATATAATCAATACATCATCAGCAAAGCATACGAAGGTGACATTACTCACTGTAAAATGTATACTGAAATGCGTCTCTTATCGTCACATTGCAGTCAACATAGTTCTCATTTGCTAACATTAAGCAAACCTGTTAGAAATATGTTTCATAGGCCTAGATATCAATGTTACAGTGGGGTGGACTTGAACAGGTGTGTCTTGCACCTGTCATTCGTGACCTCCTTGCTAGCTTGCAATATAGTCATATTAGACCTATGACTATTAGCTCCCTGGTTTTACGTTCACTCACATCCTATATAATCAATACAACATCAGCAAAGCATGATACGAAAGCGACATTACTCAATGTAAAATGTATACCGTTATGCGTCTCTTGTCGTCACATTGCAGTCAACATAGTTCTCCTTTGCTACTACGCAACGCAAACCTGTTAGAAATATGTTTCAGAGGCATACAGTAGGTATCAATGTTGCAGGGGCTAGACTTATATAGGTGACTGTCTTGCACCTGTCCCGACCTCCTTGCTAGCTTGTTTTTGAGTTTCTTTTTGTTTATATTGTACAAAGCCTATTATATTTTAATCTGGCTAAAGAATGAATATATAATATAATAAATTAAATAATAACTTGATTAAAATGATACATTATTAGTAAAAGGCACCATCATTCATTAGAATAGTTTTGATATTGTCTTAAGTATTCCATTGCATCTTTACTAGTTTAATTTTTTTTGTTTCATTGTTTCATAGAAAGGTACATTTATTGAATTAGGCCTATTGATTGTTTGTCCAGAAACAAAGAAACAGTTTTTGTAGTTCAACCAAAATAAATCTATACGGTCAATTTTGTTTTGCACTTTTTTTTACCAAAAAGGAGCCAAAATATTATTTCAAAATGCGCCTTTTAAAGCTTTTACTACATTTATACATTAACATGAGTTTTAGCCCCGGTTAATCAAATGTATGATAGAGCTGGTTGGAAATTAACTCCAGAATTAGCATAGATCTGTAACATAAATGACCGACCGACTCTATTTCCAAATCTAACGCAACATCGTTTGTATTGCCCTAAGCGGAAGGGATTTTTTTCTTGCTGACATAGCCATAACTTATAAAACTTGAAGCTATACCATAAAGTTTATAAAACGACATACAAATTACACTGTAAGTGTAACATAACGGCAATTTAAAACAAATTGTTGATTTTATGGCACCTCAAGTGTTATTGAGTTATTGTTCTAACGGTTTATGAGCAATAATCAAATACATCAAAAATAAAGTTTGATGATATTCTAAAACTATATAATGTCAATATAATTTACAACATAATTGTTTAAAAGGATTGTATAGTGACTACATCCTTAAGTGTGAGTGGCTCCCAGTAAACCATGTAAGAGGCAAATTGTCTGCGTTTAGTGGCCAAGAACAATATAATCCGTTTAAAATTAGATTATCACATAAAAACAGAAATTGTGTGTGTGCGTGTTTTATATTATTTATATATAGTTTTGCTTTGTTGAATTTGTGGTAATTGATAATATTCGTATCCGCTATGTATTCATGGTGACGTTTTATAGGATGTTTGTAAATACTTCATAAAGATCTCATTTACACGAAATGTTTCATTCCATGCACGTCAGGTTATCATTTCATGCTCTACGTTCTCATGAAGTTCAATGACGTCATCCCAGTCCAACCCGGATCATAGGTAAGTGGTAATGTATAATGTAGTATCACGTGCTTTGGTAGCATCCATAACTTCACAAATGGTCATACTTTCACTGCTCTCAATCTCAAAGACAGTATACTACAGAAATAATTGTGAATAGGTTTGATATGACTCTATGTTTTTGTGAGTTTAGCTTTAATTGTCCGTCCAAATGCAATCAATCAAAATCCAATGCTTTTTGTATGCGACTTCTTGAATTATGTATATTTTATTATATTTAAAGTTGGATTTATACTTAAGGTTTATTTATTTTTCCTAAATAAAATATATATTATGGTATTTTTTCAACACAATAATAAACGGTGTATAAAAAGCCAAGGGAGTTAAAGCTGTTTTATGGTGGCTAGGATGCCTGCTTTTCATCAATCCAAGAAATCATAATCAACGACTAAATGAAAGATTATTCTATAAACCCGGCGTCCCACCCTGTAATTGGCGAGTATGCTTGCTTTCGGATGTGAAAGAACTAAATTGATAATATTTGATTAGATTACATCAGATTATTTTAGTTTATTGTCTATCAAACCATTTCAAAAATAGTAACTTGTATTGTTTTAATTTTTGTTTAAGCAAAATGGAACGCTAGTGAATATAACATTATTGACATCGCAAAGGCTGTATTTATGGCAATGGAAATGTTGATTGAAAGCGAAAAAAACCAAATCAATGGAGTTGTTCTCTTAGCTGATCTAGAGGGTATCGGTCTATCACATGCTATGCAACTTACTCCAGGATTCGCGAGAAAGGTTACAGCAATTTTCCAGGTAGGTCAACTATATAAATCGAGGTTTGATGTCTAAATTTCTAAATAAAAACTATGACTGGTGATAGGTGATACTGTGCATTGAAGTTTAAACCCTTCGTGACACTGTATTGCTATTAATAGTTTCAAGATACACATACATAGATGATACTATTCAGTTAAAATTATCTAATAACATAGATAAGATAGGTTATCTAACATTATTGCCTTTGTGGCACCCAAAGTGACACATCATGTATGCATGCCATGAAAATAAATACCGTAAAATCTCGAATTAAAGCTTAGGCTTCTGTTTATTTATTTATTTATTTTTTGCTAACTTTGGGTGGGCTTCTTTTTTAGGCTACTTTTGCAGAGTAAAGAGGGGGCTTCTTTTCAAAATTAATGCTGTACATTTTGTGAATTTGTAGGCCTACTATAAAACAATAAATAAGGCAACACCGTAACATCAATCTGTATCATGGAGTGTATTTAACTGCCATTAAATCACCTAAACTACTGTATAAACCAAGCTTGTTTTAAATTTATTTATTTATTTATTTTTTTAATTCATGTACGGTGTATGTACTGTATTCTCTCGAAAAGAAGCCTGCTTCTTTTCGAGGCTAATTCTGGAAACTAAGGAGGGGTTTCAATTCGAGATGAGCTTCATCTCGAGATTAGGCCCACTGGGCTTCAATTCGAGGTTTTACGGTAGGTCTTCATAATATAATTAGACCTACTGCTGAACATTGTTAATAAATACATCAGGTGTTTTTTTTTTAAATATTATTACATTAAATCGAGATTTTTCCTGTTTTGGATATATTAGATACTACTGTTTCTTTTATTAAGATATTTCTAAGATATATTATCAGTTGGCCATACTGTACTTGTATAAAATATAGGCGTACATAGGCCTGCATACAGTAAGTGAAAGGAAACGTCAAAACGTAATCTTTGGAAACGTGTAAAGCCGGCTACTCATTGTGCCCAATGATCGTCGGCTGACGTGATTCTATGGAGAACGCAACGTCGCGACGCGCACACAACGGATCGTTTTTAATGGCGATCCGTTCAGACAGCCACCGACATCCAGCAGACGGCGTCGCGTCGTCTAGCGCTTACGGATTCGTCGGACGTTGGATTCGTCGGCCGACGGTCGTGCGGTGCAGTGTGTGTCCGGCTTTACATGGAGGGTACTTAGATTCGTCGAGTTGAGTACCCGCGATAAGGCTGCTCAACAGTCGGTTTCATAAGCTGAGGTGTTTTTCAGGAGCGAATGATGTACCGTAATACTATATACTAATTGTATATTATGTACACAGCCTCCTTTATTAAATACTCAAGACCTAATTAGATATTATTTGATTTATTTGTTTATTGCTTTTTGCTAATAAAGTAGCATGTAACAGTGCGAAAATAATGAGCCTTATTATTGACAACAGAGGAAATATGGGAGTTGGAATATCGAAAGAAAGTGACGTTTTCTATGAATATCCTTATCATTGATGAATAGTGTTGTCCAAAAGCTGCTTTTTATTTCTGACTGATTAACTTGCGTTTACATTTTAACTTTTTCGTTTATTACCAGTTCTTTATCTGGAACCATAGAGAACAAGTTTCAACAATCGTTTGTATTGTATTTTGCCCTTAAAAAACATACTGCAACCTAATGAAACTCCAGAAAATCTTAAACTAAAATAAAACTTTGAATTGTTCAATTTATCATTATTGAAAAAATAATTTTTCAATGGTTTATGGACAGTTTACTACAAAAATCTTAAACTTTGCTAACGGGAAGTTTGAGGGTATATGGAAAGACTATAGAATGGTAATATTTAAACGATCATTACTTGGTGATGAACTGTCAGTTAATTCGTAATGAAAAATTCTGATGTTTAAACCTGTATTTGATGGCTTCTCTTTACAGAACTGTGTTCCTGTACGTCTTCAAGGAATTCATTTCGTTAACGAACCTTTAGTATTTTCAGGCGTCTACCACATATTGAAACCATTTATGCAAGACAAAATTAGGAAACGGGTAGGTAATACCATGGGCACCATGCCTATTAAAATATAACTTTTAAGGAGATAAGTCTCCATAAATCCAAATTTGTAACCAGAAATAATGGAAAAATACTATAAAACGATATGATTAATAGTAAAATACAGTATATCAAAAAAAGTATTTATTTATTTTTAATTTATTTCATATTTTAATTTATTTGTAATGAATGAACATAGATGACAAGCTGAGCTAGATATATTTCATTATTACTAGTGTTGATGTTATTTTTGCTTTTGTTAGTGTAGCTGTAATTATTGTATTTCACTGTTATTCTTATGATTATTGTTTTTATACTATTTATCATATCGTTTAAGGATATTCTTATTAAATATTATATACTTGTTTTATTAGTACAATTATTTAAAAGAACATTTTATTTGTAATAACAGTTTTATGATATTTATATATGAAAGGTTCAAGTACACGGACGAACCTACTCAAGTCTTCATCAGTATTTACCTGCAGACGCCCTACCTTCTGATTATGAAGGAAAGACAGGGCCATACACAAACGAAGGCTGGAGAGCACGATTTCTAGCATTAGATCCAGTCTTTGAAGAGAACTTCAGTTTCGGTATCCAGAAAAAATCTAAGGGTTCAAAAAAGAAAGGAACAGAAAAACATGCAAAGGAAATAAAAGAAAAAGAGGTTAAGACGAGTACAGATAAAGACGACCATAAAAGAAAAACTCATACATTATGAACTTTAATGTTCTGATAGTATGAAGATCTACAAAAAATAGTCGAAAACAAGAATATATGGATATATCTCATGTATATTTGCTAATCCGAAATACCACTATAGTTTGCCAATGTAGCGCACATTAACATTGAGTGAATCGTACTTGTATGGAAATAACATTTGTTATAGTCTAGGCCTGTACGTTTACAGTTGATTTTTAATCTTATTTCCAAAGTTATTACTACCGTACTCGCGCGAATAAGCGCCCGGGCGCTTAAAATATTTTTTTGCCCTTTTTAAGGGGCGCTTATTCAAACGGGGCGCTTATGAACAGAGTGGAAATTGAGGGGGCGCTTATGGAAATAGATGAAAATCGAGGGGTTCTTATGAGAACCTATTAATTAGAACGATTATATGAGGACATCAGGAAACTGCAAATTACGAATTGTGGTGTGGCGGAAAAGATAATCGTTCAGAGAGCATGACTCGTCATGACAAGAATGTTGTGAGTATTTTAATAGCAGCAGAATAGCAGATGAAATTAGTGGTGGTGATGGTGGAGCTTGTTGGCCATCGGCCGAATGAGATTAGCAGGATGGCATGATCATTGTAGGCTTTCTTGAAAACTCAAATGAGAATGTGTTAAAGGTGCAAATTGTCGGAAAAGAGTAGGACTAGGCAATAAGAAGATGAAAGTTGGAAATATCCTCATTTTGATATTGACCTAAGGAGAACGTGATTCCACTCCGCATCTCAAATCATGCCAACTTCCACAATCCCAGGATAAATTATTAGATTATTAGATCGGATTATTGACTTGCTAAAAAAAAAAAAAAATCACATGATGGGGGGCGCTTATTCAAACGGGGCGCTTATTTGCGCGAGTACGGATTGTGTATTTATAAAATATCAGTATAAAAAAAACAAAAAAAACTAAAAAAAACCGTACCCAAATTCACATTCCCAATTATCAGTTCACAGTGACAAAATATTACACATAACGTTAAAAATCTACAGTAGTTTTTTTGTGTACACAGCTCTATTTTTATATAACTGAATATCGTAACAAATATATATATATATAT